ATGGATTCAGGAGAGTCAATTTTTTTAAAGGTACTGGTAACACCAACAAAGGTCAATACTCTGGTAGTACAAGAAAAGGTGCTAGGCTTTGCACTGATACTTAGTATTAATACCCATAAAAGTACTAGGTGGCATCTGCATCACACAAACTGGAGCCATGCAGTTTGAGGAAGTATCACCTGTGTGTATGACACTCCATATTAAAAAAAACTGGCTTCTTCATGGAATTTAATCAACAATAGAGCAAGTGAAATAGGCAGAGGATAATCTGCCAACCAAACTATAAAACCATGTCATAGTATCTTGAGTCTATTCAAGTCAGGGATGCATACAAGCAGGATCTCCCAACATGGATTGTTAAAAACTGGTTGATCTTTTTCACTGATATTCATGGCATAGCAGAACAAGTGTACCCAATGATGGACTATAAGGGACTCAAAAGATATGTCAACATGTTTATAACTGATGCAGATGTTTGTGTGAGCAAACTGAAAGAATACCATCAGTAAGAATCTAATGTGTCCTTGCCAGGTCTAAGAAAAGTCTCTCTTCAGATTAGAGTTCATGAATCACTAAGACTACTAAAATCAGTGCTGGGCCACAGGAAGAGATACTAAGAAACCAGAGTTTAGATCTGAATATTGCACTGCAAATTACAAAATTAATCATTGGAGCAAGCGAGAGGAGGAGGAAGTCAAGAAAGCAATGTCAACAGACATTGACAATATTTACATCAATGAAGATGCCATATTTGTAACACTTGTCAAAGCTAAGTTTACCCAGTTTGGCCTGACATGTAATCACTCAAAACAACACCCCTGTGTTGGACTTGGATGTCTGGAGGGAAACTGGCACCTTGGCATTATGCTCAGCATCATTGAAGTCCATACACACCTCTTATATGTACCCCAACATTTTTCTCTGCACAGAGAGAAAATGTTTCACCATGTAAGAGGTGTTAAGTGCATCTGCAATCATGCTTCCGTATTTTATCGCCAAGGTGATATGCTCCCTCCAGACATCCAATAATATAATTAATATAATTACATAAGAGGCCGAGATGATCAGGTAATTAACATTCTCCTCAAACAAACAATAGTTGAGACTGGCTGCAAGACTGAAATGTGAAGTACTGCCTAGGAGACGATCCCAAAATTTGGGATTAGACCAGGAGCATGGATGTGCGAGAAATGAACAAACAGATTGTCTGCAAATATAGTATTGTTTGCATCAGACTAAAACTTAACAGAGAGATTAACCAGAGTGGTCTAACTTAATTGAAGGAAGAGATTGAATTTCTTCCACCGATGTATGCCAATTCCATGAACAAGTTGGATCTTGGCCAAACAACAACATAGTAGACATCCAAGAGTGAAATGTATTCTATAAAAGACACATAAGAACATGCCAAAAAATCAGAGTCTGGTTCACTGGGGGAAGGGAAAGTTGACAGTGGATGGCACCTGGCAGAGACTTGCAATAAACATAACCCACTATGGCAACTGTGGACTGCTGCAGTTCTCTAGGGTGGCCATTGATAATAGGGTCTCATTCATAGCTAGTCTACCTTCTAAAAGTGAGGTCTGCTGCACAAGTTCTTCATGGACAATACTAGGTTCAACAGTAGTTAGTTCAAGCTCTTTGTGGATGGGTGGAGCATGTACAAGTGTTTCCAATGTGCACATGCCTCTTCAGAAAATAGACTAGTGGAATGTAGTTATAGAAACATGAAAAGGATTACAGCCAAATTTCAATGTTCCATCCAGGAATCCATATGCTTTATATCCATATAAAGTGACCCCAAAATATTATGCATCATACCAAATTGCACCTGCAAATGGAGTTCACTCATATGAAGTTCAGTTGAAGATGTCTGAAGATCATAACCAGAATTCAAGACAAAGAATATAGCCTTCAAGATGGACCACATCTGATTAAGTCCCATAAAAAGAATGTACAATGAAATTCAAGATGGAACAAGTGACTGCGATTTTTAGCCAACATTCAATACCAGTTAATGGGATAACTATAACATGCAAAACATCTTTACCCCATTTCCATTTCCTAGGATCAAACACACCTGCAAATGGTGTCCCCTCATACAAAGAGAATTTACCATTCCGCATCTAAACAAGGGACTTATTCTTACATTAAAATGGATATACCTAAGAATGAAATGCCTAAACAGTTTTGGTGAACTTAAAAATCAAGTTAATCTTTGATGTTGTAAAAGAAAAATATGTACATTCAGGATAATCCAATAAAATGTTAATGTGACTTACATTGAATGTAAATTGAAAGTGCTTCAATTTGCAGCCTATTCTCCAAATATATCACCTTTAGGTCATTCCTTGTTCTTATATTTAATGGAAAGGTAGTGTAAGGTCCTGTGGCAGACATGAGACAGAACCTGGGACGAGCACAACTGGTCACGACTTGCCTTGTCCCCGCCAAAAAAAGAGCCCGTATTTGCTTGGCATGTAAAACTACTGCAGTTGAAATGAGGGAGAAAAAAAGCACTTACCGCTCTGCCGTAATCCGTCCTCGGCCAGATAATGTAAAAGAATGAGGGGGGACTTGCATTGCATTTTTATGCAATAAAGCTGCAATGCATTATGGGACATGGACGCAATGAATTATGGGATCACATGAAGACGCACGGGATTATGGGTATATGGACAAATATAAAAGCAACTACTTTTTTCCCAGTGTGGCAGTTCTTCTAGTGACGTTCACGGTTGGCGACAAGAACAGTCTGTTAGTGTGATTTTGAGACAGAACTCAAGAAGGAACGACTCAAGGTTGAAATACCAGCTGGGAGAGCTTGAATTTACTCTCTGCTTGCTGTTTTCTTTATTTGCCTCAGGTCTTCAAATGCCAGAAGAAATACTTTGACGACTGAATAATGCTACTATGAATTTTTTTTTTTTTTTTACATCAATTGAAGACTGTTACATGTACAAGTAGTTTCCCTGATCATGTCCAAAACTGCTATTTTACTTAAAAAAAAAAAAAAAAAATCATTAAATCAATTTATTTCAAGAATGCTAAATATAAAACAATTTGTTATAAGTGTTAGAAATATCACTTAAATACAGTATTTAAAAGCTGATTTTTTTGCTATTACATTAAGCCAGGGAGATGCTATTCAAATCATGATTTTTTTTTCTGATGATTTGGATTGTTTTAAAATCTATATTGGCTCCAAGTTTATATTAACTATATGTTCAAATACTAGTCATTGGGAATATCTGCAGAATAAAGTTAAAATAGTAGCTAAGAAAAATGGAAAATAAGATAAAAAAAGAAAAAGAAATCAGCAAATATGCTACGCTCTAATAAACTCCTTAGTAAGATGAAAATAAGGGATATAGATCCTAACATATGGAGACCATATTTGAATTACAAAATGAGGCTGGCTATGGTTAACAGTTACTGAAAAACATTTTTAATATCTCATTATTGTATTAATCAGTATTTTGAAAAATATTTCTGAATGTCACAATTATGACAAAATGGATTTCAAATACTGATTCTGAAAGCAAACAAGCCCTGCCAACTAAGACAATCTGTCTAATATTTTCCATCATGTGTCAAATTAAATACCAACACCGTGAATAAAAAAAAAAAAAAAAAAAAAAAAAAAAAGATAACCTCACAGTCACTGACTAAGTTTAACACTCAGTAGAAAAATTTAATCTATATATAAATCTATATCTAAAATATAAAGATTTAGAATCTAATGCTATAGAAAACAAATGTAGCTGTTGTTTCAATTTTCTATATTAATCAGAACAAGCAACTTGAATGCGATTCTCCTATAATAAGTATATTTTCTTTTTATCTTGTGAATACATTTCAAAATTTGTTGGTACTGAAAGTGTTATATTGCATAATTGAATAGAACCAAAATTAATGTGTGTTGCATTATTGATGTTATATTATGGTGTCTTCGCAATATTTAGTCTTTTCAAATATAACTTACTGTAACATATCTCCTTGTAGCAACATACACTGTGGTAATAATAGACAAACAAGAACACTAGCCTTTTCAATGGACTATTGTCATGATTGACAAGTAGTATACCAAATTAAATAACTGAACTGTAATCTTGCCTCATAGTGTTCTACAGTGCAGTTTTCAAATAAATATTCAGACTCCTTTGTTTGGATGACCTCAGAAATACTTTCTACTTGCAAGAGTAGTGACAATGGCAACAAACTAGTAGACAGATGAGGTGAAAGGTTTCAATGAACAAAGTTGTTGAGCAAGAATCAAAGCTGATAAGATTCCTATTGAAACAACAGCTACATTTGTTTTCTATAGCATTAACTGTTTTGGCAAACACTGCCAAAATGGTATATTTGCTTTTAAGATAGTTGTTATTAAGAATGTCATCCATTTTCTACAATTATTATCTAGTATCAAATTTACCAATGAATTATAAGAGGGGCTTCTGAAAAGTTCCTGCCCTGACCTACTTGGAGAGAAAAAAAAAAAAAAAAAAAAGGATTCTTATGTATAGTTATGAAAATACTTATTTTGCTTAAGTGGGTCAAGGATAAGAATATTTCTGTACCCCTTGTAATTAGAACTGTTCCTTTCATTATATCTATTCTACTGTAAAAGTAGTTTCGCATAGCCTAATCCCTTTATCTATTTTGGATATCTCCTAGAATCTTTTTAGAATTTGAAAATGTGATGTTTGCTGCTATCAATATTTACAAAGCTTAGCACAAGACCACAAGTGTGAGGGTACCCAATGAGGATCATAACAATGCTGGTAAGACCAATTTGGTGACCATTATTCCATGGTGGTGTTTATTGGAATCAAAATCAGGCCAGTGCCAGTAAGTGTCCTTTTATTCGATTTGGATTTTGAAAAAATCCATAACAAATACATCACTAAATAGACAATGGCAAATAATGGAATGGAATTAGCATTAAATAATAATTATTTAGAAAAGATCTGATATGATAGTGCTTATAGTTTTTTTTTTTACAATATAGGCTGGGTAAAAATAAATATAAAGAAAATATTTGAGAGAGAGAGAAAGAGAGAGAAAGAGAGAGAGAGAGAGAGAAAGAGAGAGAGAGAGAGAAAGAAAGAGAGAGAGAGAAAGAAAGAGAGAGAGAGAAAGAGAGAGAGAGAAAGAGAGAGAGAGAAAGAGAGAGAGAGAGAGAGAGAGAGAAAGAGAGAGAGAGAGAGAGAGAGAGAAAGAGAGAGAGAGAGAAAGAGAGAGAGAGAAAGAGAGAGAGAGAGAGAGAAGAGAGAGAGAGAGAGAGAAAGAAAGAGAGAGAGAGAAAGAGAGAGAGAGAGAGAAGAAAGAGAAAGAAAGAGAGAGAGAGAGAGAAAGAGAGAGAGAAAGAGAGAGAGAGAGAAAGAGAGAGAGAGAGAAAGAGAGAGAAAAAGCTGCTATGAACAATGATTTTAAAGATAAATTCTGTCAGTAGTTGAATGTGACCCAAAACCTGACCAATGTTAAATAATAATCTCTCAAGTTGCAGAGTGTAATGTGGATGAGGAGCTCATACAATCCATTTATTTAATTCATGCTTCTACCTTAAAGGAAAAAAAAAATTAAAAAAGCAATAAAATATTCCAGAGAAAAAAAAGTTATATACACACATGTAGCATAGAAATAAACAATGAATAAACTGACATTTTTCAGAATTAATAAAAACTAGCTTAAAAGCCAACCTATCAAGTGACATTTAAGCTAGCTCCTGCAGAAGGCTCTTGATTGGGCCTCTGGCCCAACAATGACACTTCATGCATTGAGTACATATTAAATTTTATTAAGCTTTAACTCTTTAATTCTTGAAACAACAGTTTTCATCAAAACAATAATATAATTTGCCTTTTTGGAACTTTTTGCAAAGCTGCATGATAAACATTTTTGGTTTTCACATTCAGAGTCAGTACAAATAGCTTGTTTCCATTCCCAACTCTTGAACAACCAACATAGAGCTGACCATGAGAAAAGCAGAGTTCCATCAGATGAAGTCCAGTTACTATCAAGGTTTGTCCTTGGGACTTATTGATTGACATTGCATAGCCCACTCTTATTAGAAACTGAAGTCTTTTGAACTCAAAAGGAAAATTTGGAGGAATTAAGGGGATTCTTGGAATTAAAACTCTTTCCTCCTGGACCAGTAAGGATCTCTGCTTCCAAGAGATGAGGAAGTATCTTGACATTTAACCTTGTTCCATTACAAAGCTTTGGAGGATCCAGATTACTCAATAACATAACTGGCACATTTTCTTTTAGTTCCAGCTTGTATGATGGCATTCCAGGAGGATTCAATGAGTTCAAGAACTCTATTGGATAATTCACTGCTTGCTCTTATTCAACTACTGTGTCAATAGAAAAAGTACACTATGCTTTCTTTTGGAATTTTTTGGAGAAGTTTCCAGTTGTTGCTATCCACAGTTTGATTCTTGGGAGCTAATATGGTGATCTCACAAAGCCAGTTTGAATCCATGAAATAGTGTTTAATGTTTGGATAAACATGGTTAATCAAGTCTTGGAAACTGGAGACTGAAACTGAAACCATTTGGGTTTGGTTTGTTTTATGGCATATCAACCTCAATGAGTTATTTAATTCCGACAATTTTTTTTATTGCTGGTGATATTTTTTTTCAAAAATATGTTGCTGGTAATAATGTATTTCTGATAATTTTTTACAAAAATGTATTTCTGGTATTAAAACCTATTTTTACGCTTTCATAGTGTTTTAACTCAAATTTAAGTGTTAACTATTTGCGCATAACTGGAACCCTGGGTCAGGGTGGACCTGGGAACACCAGCAATTAAGAGATGTCTCCACACTCCTCAAAACCTAATCAGAGGCCTAGCTGTCAGACGTAGTTTGTCTTATCCAGGACACAGATGTAGTTTATCATCATACCCAGGACGGAACCATTTGGGAGTGAAATATCTCCATTTTGGCCCATTTTGATGGTTCCATTGCTAAGCTGCAACAGCAAAGCAACAAATCTTCCTGCTTCAAGGTCACCTATGATTCTAACTCTTATGTTTGTTTTCAAGCTGAGACTTTGAACATGGCTCCAGATGTAAGACTTTTTCAGAGAGTTGTGCCCCTTTAATTGAAAAAAGTGTGATACACACAGACATTTTCACATTTATTATATAGAAGTTTTATGGCAACAGTCAACTTAAAAAGCTGAAAATTAATTTTAAGACTAAATTATTCACTTTAAAATTATAACAAATGAAAACAAATCTTTGAAAAATTCATTTTTCATTGCAAAATTTTTTCTTCAAAGAATTCTGCTTTTTTTATAGTCACTAAAACTTATGTTGAATTTCCTGAGTTTTCATAAATTTAAGGGTCTGAAACATTTGTTAAAAAAAAAAAAAAAAAGTTTTTACCAAGATTTTCTAATAAAAAATTTCAAAAATAATTTTATTCATTTGTGAATAAGTCCTGAAAATTTCATTAAAATCTAACAATTATTTAATTTTTCCAAATTAATGTGTGTCACTGAAAAAAAAAAAAAAAAAAAAAAAAAATTTGCTATGCTATACAAGAAAAACAAGTTTTTTTAAATCAAAATTTCAAATGTTCTAAAGAGAAGTAAAAAAAAAAAAAAAAAAAAAAAAAAAAATTAATTAAATAATCAAAAAAATTATTTGATCCTTCCTCTTCATAATAACAACTATTTTGTCAATAAAACTGTTTTCATCACAGTGTGCTGATTTTTTTTTTTTTTTACTGTTTTCTTGGAGGTACCTAAAAAGCATACTTTGGAGAACATGTCTGTAACTAGAATTTGTAACTCTTGTGGAAAGTATAATAAACTTGAACTGGTTATATTCTAGAAGTTAACCTGAAATGTACTTTGATGGATTTTTCTGCTGATACTTTCAGTGAATTGTTGATGTTATATGGCATTAATTATTTAAATTAGTTAATTTAAATCACTGAATTTCTTTTTGCAAAATTGCACTATTTTACCAAAAATGTCCTAAATTGAAAAAATAAAAAAACACAAGACATTATTTAATTAGAGAAGCTTTTAATTGCTTTTATGAATATATATTAAAGACAATATTGTCTGAAGAAAAAATTTTGCAATGAAAAATGAATTTTTCAAAGATTTGTTTTCATTTGTTATAATTTTAAAGTGAATAATTTAATCTTTTAAAATTCATTTTCAATGTGTTAATTCTTAGGAAATATTGTTATTAAGTACAACTATATTTACTAATCATAAAGCTTATTACAATCTGATGACACCGAATATTTTTGAAAGAATTTTGATTTGTTTTTGTATGGTGTGATTACATACAGAATTTGAAGTATGGAGGATATACAAACTGATAAATCTATCATGAAAAGGTCACATGTTTTATGGGTTGTTCCCCCCCTTACAGTGAAAAAAAAAAAAAAAAAAAAAAAAATCTCCAAACTTGTCTGCTCCACCATACTTAACTATGAACATGTTCCACTGCCAATAAATTCATTAACACATCAGAAAAACAAGACCCCATAATTAAGAAATGTTGGTATACAACTTTTTATGCTATTAGGCTGTAATTATAAAGTACAGAAGACCAACCAGAATACAATTAAGTTGCGTTATTTGAGTTAAGCATTGTTCTCCGCTGTTAAGGCCTTTAATTTTGCAAAACACATGTTGAGAAGTTAATTTGATTTTTCAATTTCAACTGAGAAGAGTACCTACAAGTATCAGTATCATATGAAATTTATATGATCTTATTTTTAAATTAATCTCAGTTATGACATTTTTCCATAAATATCAAAATTAATAAAATGAATGGAAATACAAATAACACAGTAAAATGTAATAAATGTACATAAAATTATAATATCTTATGTACACTTCTGATAAAATTTCATAAGAAAGGTACCTATAAATTAATTAGATATTATGAAATTTAATCTCACTCTTAATAGTCTTATTTTAATTTCTTTATAATATATTTTCCATAAAGCATCATAAACGTAAAGGTGAAAGCTAAGTACAAAAAAAAAAAAAATTAGAGCACTGAAAGTTTTCCTTAAAAATAACGAGGTAAATAATTTGTTCACTTAAATGTAAATTATTTCACTTTTCTCCTTCCGTAGAACAAATTATCCTCACGGAATCCGTCAATATGTCATTCATCACCTGTTTATGACATGCTTTGTTTTATTTTCAAATTACATCTTTTCCATGCAGAAGCCAAGTTAAGCTTGGTTCAAAATATTTTAAATAAACATTATAATTTCTGATTTTCTTAAAATAAGTTTTGAAAAAATGATAATTGATATTTAAAAGAATTTTCCAATTTTTTTATAATTTTTTAATGAAAATTTCGGACGTGCTAGGAACAATTAAAAAAATACCCCAAAAATACTTTGATCTTTCCTCTTAATAATAACAAACATTTAGACAATAAAATTTTGTTTTCGTCAAGTTTGGCATCTTTTTCATCCTGCTATGCTATGCTCTTTTTTTAGCGATCTTGTGGAGGTACCTATATAAGTAATATTTGCTTCAAATCTGATTAATTTAACTATAAATTTGCTAATTTTCCTCAAATAACATTTCAGATATATTTTATTTTTGCAAGACTTAAACCTGAGAATTAATTTTTGTTTACAGAGGTGTCAAAAACACCAGTTTTGATCAATTTTACTGAAGAAAAAAAATAAGTAAATAAATATTGATTCTGTTTGAAATACACCACAGTATTTTGCTTACTAGAAATAGTAAATTTTAAATCCTTTAGCTTTCAATTAAAGCTAAAATGAAAGCTTTTTTTCATTTTTAAAACTTCATTTTAAATTTTACATATACCAAATTGGTGTGGGTACCTACTTTATAGTGCACTCCTGATATTAACAAAAGCAACTATGTTTTGCTGAGTATAAGTGGCTGACTACTAGTAAGGATAACATATTGGGGTTAATAGCCAGTGGCTGTGGCTAGCAAAAGAAAAAAAAAGTCTATACATTTGCTTCCTCTTTATTTTAATCAGCTCTATAATTTTAAATAAAACACAGCAGTCACCACAGTGCTTAAGACACAAATATTAAACTGTAATACAAATTCAAACAAAACTTATGTTCTTACAATAAGATAAACCAAGCCTGAATTCTTTTCCAGAAGATCATGTAACACCAGTTTTGAAGAGAAAATGGTTATTCTTATACAATATTCAGTATTTCAAGCTTAATCTTTAGTTTATTATATCAGAATGATGTATAGTAATAGCACACTAATATTATATGTTGGCAAGTTCATTTTTATTGGGTCTTTATGAAAGTACTAAATTCCAATTAATCCTATTTATCATTCACAAGATGGACTCAACTTTTTTTTAAACTGTACATTTTCAGACAAGAAAAGATTAATAATCCATATTTTCTTTTAATTTGTAA